ATATAAGTGGATTAACTCTGGGAGTTCTTAGATTTTCTAAGTTTTGGGGTCGGGGATACTTCCCAACTTTCTCTCGCCATTTCTCATCGGATAATTTCGTGCTCAAAAGGCCCTCGACTATGGAGGCAAGACGCTCTTGAACAGCGGCGCCCATCTGTTCACTAACATCGAGCTCTTGTGCTATAGTTGTAAGGAGGCTATCTGAATTTGTCGTCAAATCCTCGCTACTTGTCGTCTTGCTGGTTTCCTTAAGGAGACGTTCAACTTTAGTGTCCAGACATGTAGACACAGTTTCCGAGTCGCTACCTTGTCCTTCGTCAATGTCCAGGCGAAGCTCGTCGTCAAAAGTAGAGTCGTTAAATGTAGAGGTGAAATTATTTATTTCGCCACGCACGGATGCCATCTCGGAGGCCATACTGGCTTTGAATTCTCTCATTTCTTCCATAAACTCGGCGAGAGGCGAGACTGTGTCTCCGACAGGGCCACGACTAGAGCTGGCTTCTCTTTGCCTTCTCTCAACCGGTGCATTGCCATCGGCCATTTTATATGCACACTATGAACACAACTACGTTGGTTTCTGGTTGAGTAATCTTGGGCCAAAACAAGGTTTGGCCGTTATCACAGCGATACCAACTACGTTGGACGCTTTTGATTAAGTATCTACCACGTAGACCAGTGGCGCCGTGGGACCCATGTTTTTTGGGGGGCCAAGGGCAGTACTTTTCCGAAAAACCGAAAATTTTTTCCGACAAACCAAAAATTTTTCCGGACGACAACATTTTAAATCTTCACACGCCGCAACCTCGTCAATCATAATTCAACGTTGAATCCACGTTAAAACAACGTTGAGATTGGTTCACAAATCGACGTCGTACATTTAACCATGAATTCAACGTCTGTTGGCTGCTGTTCAACCAATGTTTGTAAAACAACGTCAGAGCAACGTAGATATTACGTTGTCGACGTTGCAACCTTTTTTTTTACCAAATTTCAACGTTGAAACAACGTCGTGTGCCCGGTGGGACTCGGGGCTTAACTCGAGGGGCTTAACTCGAAGATTACCTGCCTCGATTTCTTTCAACCATTGCATGCTTCTTCGCCTGCGGCTTTTTTGTTTACTTTTTGCAAACAGCTCGGCGAAACGTTTCTTTAAAAATATACAGCTCGTGATCCTTGAAAATATTAATAGGCGGTTATAACAGTGATGATATTGAGGTTTCATACAAGCGAAGTTTTGATAAATATAAGAGGACGAAAGAAGACTTAAAGGTCGAGAAATTATGATGTTTTCAAACTGTAAACAATATGGTTTCCCGAAATGTTGCAGACGTTTACGTTATTAAAGAGAAGTACGTATGAAATGCGCGCAAAGCAATGTCGTTGAAATCAACGAAACACATGAAAAAATAACTGTGAACTTGTCGTTGAAAAAATAACTGTGAACAATGTCGTTGAAATCAATGAAACACATGAAAAAATAACTGTGAACTTGTCGTTGAAAAAATAACTGTGAACAATGTCGTTGAAATCAATGAAACACATGAAAAAATAACTGTGAACTTGTCGTTGAAAAAATAACTGTGAACAATGTCGTTGAAATCAATGAAACACATGAAAAAATAACTGTGAACTTGTCGTTGAAAAAATAACTGTGAACAATGTCGTTGAAATCAATGAAACACATGAAAAAATAACTGTGAACAATGTCGTTGAAAAAATAAGTGTGAACTTGTCGTTGAAAAATAACTGTGAACAATGTCGTTGAAATCAGTTAAACACATGAAAAAATAACTGTGAACAATGTCGTTGGAATCAATGAAACACATGAAAAAATAACTGTGAACAATGTCGTTGAAAAAATAACTGTGAACAATGTCGTTGAAATCAATGAAACACATGAAAAAATAACTGTGAACAATGTCGTTGAAAAAATAACTGTGAACAATGTCGTTGAAATCAATGAAACACATGAAAAAAAACTGTGAACTTGTCGTTGAAAAAATAACTGTGAACAATGTCGTTGGAATCAATGAAACACATGAAAAAATAACTGTGCACTTGTCGTTGAAAAAATAACTGTGAAAACTGTCGTTGAAATCAATGAAACACATGAAAAAATAACTGTGAACAATGTCGTCATCAAAACGAAGACTAGAAAATTACCTAATGCAATAAAGAAAGATATAAACAGTAATTCATATCCAGTCGAAGCGCTAGATTTAACGAATTTAGATAGATTTAACGACTATTTTAATACTGTTTTTAATGATCCATTTGTTGAACGACCTCCACCAGGAATATATCCCATCAACCTAATCTTGGTGAACTTTCTAGTATATCGCTTTCTGTGGTAGAAGTTGAATCCGCATTAGAAAACCTTGACTGCTCTAAAAGTCCTGGTCCTCATGGCATAACGTCAAGATTATTAAAAGAAGTTGCTTCCGAAATTTCCAGTTCTATAACTGTTATGTTTAACAAATCATTAGCTTGCGGTATATTTACCACCAAATGGAAAGATTCAAACTTTGTCCCAGTTCATAAGTGCTCTCAAAAGGACATAGTCAAGCGCTACAGAGCTATCGCTCTTTTATCTGTTTTATCAAAAGTGTTTGAAAGATTTGTGCACCCAAGAATTTTTACCCATGTTGAACCCTTACTAAACAATGGCCAACATGGATTTAGAAGACATAGATTTTGCATTACACAACTTTTACAATATGAGCATAATCTGACAACTCTGGACCTTGGAGGACAAATTGATAACATCTATTTGGATATGGCTAAGGCCTTCCATAGGGTACCACATCAGAAGTTATTATTTTGTTAGAGTACATGGGCATATACGCAACCCTTTACTACATTGGTTTAAGGATTATCTCACAGACAGGAGACATCGATTGGTCATTGACGGTGCTTATTCAGACAGGAAAAGTGTCAACTCTGGTGTGCCACAAGGATCTATCATTGGCCCCATTATGTTCATTATTTACATAAATGAGTTGGTACTGGTCTATCCCCTGATACCTTGTTACCATTATATGCTGATGATGCTAAATGTAGTAGAGTTATTGAGGAAGTTGGTAATTATTGTATATTACAAGAGGATATAAACTCTATATCTCAATGCTGTAAGGTATGGGACATGGACTTCATCAATATGGGAAAATGTAAATCTCTTTGTATAACTAAGAAAAGAAATCATATTACAACAGTCTACAAGCTTGGGGGTGAAGATATTGCAATAACTAAAGAGGAAAAAGATTTGGGGTTGCTGGTAAACCATAAGCTACCATGGCATAATCGTGTATTAAATAAAGTTAGCACTGCAAACAAAGTTTTACGGTTAATTAAACGCGTGTGGGGAAAACAAATCCATCTAAATGCTGTACTGAAGTTATATATTCATCTTGTGAGACCGCATCTTGAATATGCAAGTGAAGTCCAATCACCACACCAAACATACTTGAAGATTGAAAGCGTCCAGCGAAGAGCAACGAAACTTGTCATAAAAAACAAGAGTTATGATGAAGGACTACTGATTTTAAAACTACTTTCCTTGTCTTCAAGGAGAATTTTTAAAGATTTAATGTTTCTTTTTAAATGCTTATTAGGCCACTACGACCTAAACTGGACCAAATATATGGAACCTGCATATAACTCGACTTACAATCTAAGACACTTAGATTATTCTTTTAAAATAAAATATGCAAGAACAAATACTCTAAAATTTTCATATTTCTTCAGAGTTGTAAAGAGTTGGAATGCTCTACCTCTCCAATTAAGGAAATCTGATACGATTAGAGAGTTTAGGTTAGGACTGGAATCCTATTTATTTACAGCTGACACTAGATCAAACTTTTTCTAATTTAATCTTATTGTCTATAGTATATTGGATTGATATAAAACTGCTGTAATATTTGTAATTAGTATGTATATTCTTTGGTGACCCCTCATTAAGGGAAAAAATTCCTGTTCAGGGTTTCCTCCAGTTTTTGATATTGTATATGCTGTTAAACAATTAATAAATAATAATAATAATAAATACAACACTATATTTATGATTAGTGAAATAACATCGTATACTTAAAATATTTTAACATTTCTCAAGTCCTCCCATGTGAGAGCTCTCCATGTAAAAACTCAGCAGAATGTGAGAACGTGGACGAAAATAAATTTAATTGCACATGCACTGAAGATTGGACAGGCTTAACCTGTGAAGAAAAAGGTAAAGATTTTTGAAAAGTAGTAAACGTCTTGGTTATTGAGAGGTACAAACGTGTAGAATTGCCCCAAAATATATCAGAAGCTGGACTAGTAGACAAGATAAAGACTCATAAAGTTGCAGTTTGTAACTTCAACATGTTCTTTCTGAACAGGAGTTACGTATTAAATTACCTTTAAGTTTATTTGTCTTTTTCCTTGCAGTCCATCCCTGTGACAAAGCCGAATCTCCGTGTAAAAATGAAGCCACATGCGAAAAGACAGAGGATCAGTTTGTTTGTAAATGCGCCGAGGGCTGGAAGGGCGAAACCTGCGAAGAGAAGGGTAAACAATGAAAAAGAATATGTTTAATGCATGAATGTGGAGGGTATTGAGATGAAGACTTCTGTCATGAAGGTGGAGATATACATTTCACTGCCAAGTGACATAGGAGGATTTCACTAAATTATTATTAGCAGCAGATGGTAGACATCAGACAGTTATCAGAGTGGAAATAATTTTCGTAATATGTAGTGTAGTATCCACTCCTTTTTAATATATAATTAATATATGCAGTATAGTCTTGCATTTGATGGCAAATAGAATATTGGCAACATTTCTGAAGTTGACCACCTGTTGCCCTGTAACTGGAACGAACCCATCACAAACTATACCATTAGTCTTGGCGTTATATTTTTTATACTAGTCGTACTAGAATTATTGTCTTTTATATCTTTATCTAGTTCAACCTTGTGACAACTCTCCATGTAAAAACCAAGCAGAATGTGAGAATGTTGATGAAGGAAATTTCACGTGCCAATGTTCCGAAGATTGGAGGGGCGAAACTTGTGAAGAAAAGGGTACGAGTTAGAAGAAAGGGTAACGTTTTACCGGGGTTATCCAGCTTTACCAGGTTCTGATTTTTGTCTTCTATCTATTTCTACCCTTAGTCATGTCGACCGTCCCGTTATTGATATTTAAATCTTCTTCTTTTAATCTATTTATCTCTTTTTCACTCTTTCCTTCATCTTCAGTTTCACTACTCTCTGACCAGCTCTCCTTCATCTCTTGTTATTACATGTCAATGTCAATTTATTACATGTCCATACCTTCTCTGCAATGTTTACCACCACACATCTTCTTCTGATCTCTTCTTTCCTCGTAGCGGTCCATGTTTACTATGCAAATAGTTGTGTAGAATCAAGGGCACTGATATTGTACGCTTTCTCGGTTCTTTCTTTTAAATTAAACTTTTACGTTGATTTCTCCCTAGTCCTTCCATGCGAAAGCAATCCATGTAAAAACTCAGCAGAATGTCAGAACGTGGACGAAAATAAATTTAATTGTACATGCACTGTAGATTGGACAGGCTTAACATGTGAAGAGAAAGGTATTTTTTTTGAGAAATAACAAACGTCTTGGTTATTGATGAACGTATGAACGTGTGGAATTGCGCCAAACGATATCAGAAGCTAGAGTAGTAGACAAGATAACATGGTAGATTTTAACTTCAGCATGTTGTTTGCTTTCTGTATAGAAGTTACGTTAGGTTATGCTAAATTACCGTTAAGTCTATTTGCCTTGCAGTCCATCCCTGTGACAAAGCCGAATCTCCGTGTGAAAATGAAGCCACATGCGAAAAGGCAGAGGATCAGTTTGTTTGTAAATGCGCCGAGGGCTGGAAGGGCGAAACCTGCGAAGAAAAAGGTAGAGAATGAAACGTAATATGTTCAATGCATGAATGTGGAGAGTATTGAGATCAGGGCCGTAGCTATAGGGGGAGGGGGGCGTGACACCCCGCCTGAAAAGGTCTTTTCGGCAAAATAACGGTTTTATTGGTAAATCGTTTTTGTAATCAGCGAAAATATTGGAATGGTTCGGATCACTACAGTCTTGGCGTTATATTTTCATAATACTTGACATAATAAAATTATTGTCCAATATTTTTCTCCAGTGCAACCTTGTGACAAGTCTCCATGTAAAAACCAAGCACAATGTGAGAATGTTGATAAAGAAAATTTTAAGTGCCAATGTTCCGACGGTTGGAAGGGCGAAACTTGTGAACAAAAGGGTATATAAAATTTAATTATTCTTATCCTATTTCACTTAGCTCCAGTTTTACTGGGTTACCCAGCTCTACAGGGTTTCTGATTTTTGTCTTCCATCCATTTCTATCATTAGGCATGTCGATCTGTCCCTTGTTTTGATATTTAAATCTTCCCTTATACAATCTATTTATTTCTTCTTTACTCTCCCCTTCATCTTCAGCATCACTAGTCACATTAATGAGTAAATTAGTCAACAATATTGCTTTATTTTGCTCACATGATAATACTGGATACCTGGTGAAGTATATTAATCCACCAGTCAATAGGAATGGATCGTAATTAATTTAGTCCTTCGACTGGATTAAGTGGTGATTTATTCGTATGACGTATGAAATGTCATTTCAAATCAATTCGGACTGGATTAGATTTCCTCGCATTTTGATCCAGTCCTTGGCTTCGCTTTGAACAAATTGCGCGGACTTGAAATCAAGTCCAGTCCTCATGGTCTGATTTTTTTGAAACATTTCTTATTACATGTCCATCTCAGTGTTGCTTCCTTTACCTTCTTTGCAATGTTAATTTCTTCATTCCCATGCAATCTTAATTAAAGCGGTCCATGTCTATGGAACAGTACATCCTATATGCAAACAGTTGTGTAGGATCAGGAGCACTGAAATGATACGTTTTCTCCGGTTCTTTCTTTTAACTTTAATTTTACGTCGATTTTTCCCTATAGTCCTTCCATGCGAAAGAAATCCATGTAAAAACTCAGCAGTGTGTGAAAATGTGGACGAAAATACGTTTAATTGTACATGTACTGAAGATTGGACAGGTCTAACCTGTGAAGAGAAAGGTAAAATATTCTTAAGTTGTTTATGTGTCTAAACTATCTATGTAGTCATCTTGTATTTGGTAGCAAATAAATAGAATTGAGAAATTTAGTTAATTTTCTTGCTCAAAATGTCAACATTCCTAAAATTGACCACCTTCTGCTGCTCTGTAACCCTTACAGAACCTTTAAACCCACAAGTACAATTGTCAACATTTCTTTTTTTGTCTCTGCAGTACATGCCTGCGACAAAACTGCATCTCCTTGCAAAAATGATGGAGTTTGTGAAAAGAATGGAGATGAATTTGTTTGCAACTGTTCTGAATACTGGACTGGGCCAACTTGCGAAGAATATACTGCTTTCGAAGGTAATCAGCGAATGAAGTCACTTAAAGTTGTTTCCGCCAGTTTCACGGGCAAAATGAATGATAGTTATGTTTTAGAAATGGAATAGGGATATGTTCGATTGTGGTTTGAAAGAATATAAGAAACGTATTGTGGTATGATAGGTCAATCACTACTTTCTTTACATCCTGATAGACATCCTCTGCCCATGTGTACTGTCCCCTAGTCTTGATAACTAATATGACAGAGTATGATTAATTTATTACCCTATTTACTTCTCTTTAGGCTTGCAAAACTGCAGCAAAAACAGTAATCGTAAAAGAGTTGGTGGTCGTGTCATCGCTCGTTGGACGAACAACAAATATTACGCTGGTGAAATTACAAATATTTCTGAAGAGGATCAATCTATCGTTATTTTGTTTGACGATGGGTATAAAATCACACATGCATTAAATGACGTTACCGCTGTTTTGGCCGATAAGGTCTCTGACTCTGTGGAGTATAAGGATCATGTGATTGCCTCATGGCAAGGAAGTTACAGACAGTACATCGGGTACGTGATACAAGTGAGCGAGTCTCGAGGCTTTAAGGTTCGGTTTGATGACAATGACGAAGCCTGGTATAAGAAAGATCAACTTAGAATCCTTCCAGACGCTTCATCGCCCCACGATGGTGAGTGATTTGGTGCAAGTTTTACTTTGATTATTTCTCAGTTTTTTGTTTGTTTGTTTGTTTGTTTGTTTGTTTGTTTGTTTGTTTGTTTGTTTGTTTGTTTGTTTGTTTGTTTGTTTGTTTGTTTGTTTGTTTGTTTGTTTGTTTGTTTGTTTGTTTGTTTGTTCGTTTGTTCGTTTGTTCGTTTGTTCGTTTGTTCGTTTGTTCGTTTGTTTGTTCGTTTGTTCGTTTGTTCGTTTGTTCGTTTGTTCGTTTGTTCGTTTGTTCGTTTGTTTGTTTGTTTGTTTGTTTGTTTGTTTGTTTGTTTGTTTGTT